TCCCAGTCTTTTCAATCTCTCCTCATACGGAAGCCATTCCATACCCGTAATAATTTTTGTTGCCCTTTTCTGAACCCTTTCCAATTCCAATATATCTTTTTGAGATGGGGTGACCAGATCTGCACATAGTATTCAAGATGTGGGCGTACCATGGATTTATATAGAGGCAACATGATATTTTCTGTCCTGTTATCTATCCCTTTCTTAATTATTCCCACCATTCTGTTCGGTTTTTTGTCTGCCGCTGCACATTGAGTGGATGTTTTCAGAGAACTATCCACAATGACTCCAGATCTCTTTGAGTGGTAACAGCTAATTTAGACCCCATCATTTATATGTATAGTTGGGATTATGTTTTCCAATGTGCATTATCAACATAGCAAACTTCATCAGCCATTTTGTTGCCCAGTCGCCCAGTTTTGAGAGATCCTTTTGTAGCTCTTCACAGTCTGCCTGGGTCTTAACTATCTTTAGTAGTTTTGTATCATCTGCAAATTTTGCCACCTCACTGTTTACCCCTTTTCCCTGATCATTTATGAACATGTTGAACAGAAGTGGTTCCAGAACAGACCCCTGGGGGACACCACTATTTACCTCTTCCGTTCTGAAAACTGCCCATTTATACCTACCCTTTGTTTCCTATCTTTTAACCAGTTACCAGTCCATGAGAGCACCTTCCCTCTTATCCCATGACTGCTTACTTTGCTTAAGAGCCTTTGGTGAGGGGCTTTGTCAAAGGCTTTCTGAAAATCTAAGTACACTATATCCACTGGATCCCCTTGTGTGACGAACTGGGACTGTTCTTGCTGGGGTGTGGGAATGCTGACAGGCGAGTGTGGCTAGGATGGTCTGCATTGGGGGATGGGAGTCTGCCCGAGGGAACATACCTGAGCTTGTAACATGAGAACCCAGGAAGGGGTTGGAGGCCAGGTGACTCCGGGGCCCGGGAAACTGAACAAAGGCTGTGGGAGGGGTCGCTGAAGGGAGAGTGTGGGAAGCGAGCTGGAGAGATGGCTGGGAGGCAGAGATGGTGTGACGAACTGGGCCTGTTCTCGCTGTGGTCTGTGAATGCTGACAGGGGAGTGGGGCTGGGATAGTCTGCATTGGAG